AAAGAGTACAGAGAAGAGCAACAAAGATGATTAGGGGATTGGAGGCTAAAACATAGTTGTTGGAATTGGGTATGTCTAGTTTAATGAAAAGAAAGACTAGGGGTGACATGATAACAGTGTTCCAATATCTCAGGGGTTGCCACAAAAAAGAGGGAGTCAAGCTATTATCCAAAGCACCTGAAAGCAGGACAAGAAGCAATGGATGGAAACTAATCAAAGAGAGAAGCAACCTAGAATTAAGGATAAATTTCCTGACAATTAGAACAATTAATCAGTGGAACAACCTGCCTCCAGAAGTTGTGAATGCTTTAACACTGTAAGTTTTTAAGAAGAGACTGGACAACCATTTGTCTGAAATGGCATAGGGTTTCCTGCCTAAGCAGGGGGTTGGACTAGAAGACCTCCAGGGTCCCTTCTAACTCTATTATTTATTATTTTTTGTTGTTGTTATTGTTGTTGTTGTTATTACAACAATGCAGCTCTTAAAGCTCCAGAAGTTTTTTTTTTTCTTCCAGACTTACAGAGAAGCTTGAAAAAGTCACTTTGTTTTAATGGTCTGCTCAGAGGCACCTGCATTCTATTTTCAGCAACTGTCTCCTTCTTAACTGTTAAAATGATTTAATTCACAATGGCACACTGACTTGGAAAATCAAGTCACTGGGCCTCAGTGAAGCTGACACGAACACAATTCAGCTGGCTGCTTTCCTTCAGCAGAGGCCTGCATATGTAAAGGACAGGATAGAAGCTTCTTGCATCTAGAATTAGGCAGCATGCCTCCACTGATCTGATGCTTTGAAGAGAGGGATAAAAAATATTTCGGTCTGGAGTGCCATTCAGTGGCACATTTCAATTACAGCTTCATCAAATCGGAGTGTGTCTTCCACTTAACATCACTAATTAACTAGGTATCCCAGTGATAGAAGCTGAATTAAAAGTTTATACTGTTCTTCTAATAAAATGGCATGCATGACAAGCATGACATTTGCTTATTTTTATTATGACATTTATTACATTTATATCCTGCTGCAGTCATGAAAGAATCCCAAGATATGTGGCTCACAAGATATATGGTAACAAAACATTCAATAGTAGAGGAAAAGGCATGCAATAAATGCAATGCAGACCAGGACTTAGTAGAGCAGCCATAAATATCTCAGAAAACCCTGGGATGCTTGTATATCTGCAAAGATCAGACTCACACAAGCCATAGTGTTCCCTGTGATATTCTGTGGAAATTGGGCTTTGAAGAAGCAGGATAGGAAGAGTATTGATACTTTTGGATTTTGATGTTGGTGAGGTCTCCTGAGAATACTATGCACAGTCAACAAAACAAACAAATAAATCAGAGAATTAATCAACCCAGAATTCTCACTCAAGGCACTCAATGACCAGGCTCAAATTATCCTACAAACTAAATATCATGGGAAAACTAACCCTCTGAAGAAGGCTTTAATATTGGGAAAGGAAGAAGGAAAGTGAAGAAGAGATGACCAGCAGCAAAGTGGATGGACTCAGTTATGGTGGCTATGAATGCACAACTGGAAGTTCAGAAAGATCAGTTTAGGGACAGTTATGGAGAACAATTATGTATGTGGTTTTTAGGAGTCAACAGTGACTTTGATGGTACACAGTCAATCCATTAAAACATCCATCATTAGGTTAAAATTAGAAACATATGCATATTTTTCAGCTGTTTAGTTTATTTATTGATTAATCAAATTTATATGATTAATCAAATTAAATTTATATGATTAATCAAATTTATCATGATGCTAGGCAGCACACAACAATCCAATAAAACAGTAAACAAATAAAACAATAATTGTCTAAAACCATTATATAATAATGATTTTTGAAAGCTTTAAAAAATCTAAAAACAGAACTAAAATATGAAAAGAAAACAATAGGTGGAGGGATGTAATGGAACCACCTCATGAGTTCTCCCATCCCTGGGAACACTAGGCCTGCTGATATAGGCAGGCCTTAAGAGAGTTTTGAAATGATGTCATTGTAAATTGCTCAGAAAGTGCTGTAAAGCACTGTGGAGTGGTATATAAGTCTAAGAGCTATTGCTATTAATATTACTGATATGATCCTGAAGGTAACCTACTGCCAAACCATAAAGGGCTTTATGGGTTAAATGTTTTAAATTAAACCCTGAATGTAAGCAATGTGGGATCTGCCTATAACACATTTTGGAAGTTGCTAATTTAAAAAATGTTTGGGAATTTTCTAATGGTTTAACAGGAATCACTTTCCCTATCAACTTTTTTTTAATAGATAATATCTTAGTTTTTTTTTTACCAGAAAATAAAAATCCTTTGAGGTTCTACTGATGAATTTATAGCTAAAATATCCAATAACAAATGGAATAATGTGATACTCCAAGCCTTAGCAAATGCTGTAGGTCTTCTTTTGCCTGACAGAGAGGTTGATTTGTATTTAAATTTAAAACCTGGGTGAGAAATGAGTTGGATATTAGTTTTTTTCATGGCAATATGAGAAAAAATGAGAGTGCTTGGGAATATCTTTTTTTTCCTGGGTGTAATCTCCCCAAAGGCACTTGGGATAGTATCAGATTTAGATCTAGGAGACAGACAATTCCCAAGGAGAGATGAAATTGTCTTCAGTAGATGGATTGTAGTATCTGTTCTTCAATAGAAAATGTTCATACCAGACCTCAAGGATATGAAAAGCTATCAGAATCCTGTAGAGGATCATAGTTGCATTACTTGTTCGGAGTTTCTTTCTTTCAAGCCATACCACAGGCATTAAATTAGGAATTGATGCACTGCAATTGCTTTTTTTTTCTGACCAGAATCTTCTATTATTATTTTTTTCACTCTACTGCAACTGGAAAGTTAAAAGAATAGAGCAGCTCACATGCATGCATACGAGCATGCATACTTTCAAAAGCAAAAAGTATAAAAAAAGAGTGATCATTAATGCATAAATAATATAGGGGAGAAAGGAGGAAACCATGCCTTAGCAGTTTGTCTATCTTGTATCTATTTTTTTCTTCATTTACTGATTTATAAAATGTATAAACATTCAGGTGGGAGTGCAATAAAACATAATTTTAAACAAGCCAAAATGATTTTTTTAAAAAATAGCCAATAAATTTTAAGAACAGTATTAAAATAACTGACATCAGTTTAAATTCTTTAACCTGAATTCCATTCATTAGGTTACTACTTCCATGTAGAATAACAGTAAATCTGAATGTAATTCAAGAATCTTTGCTAATTTATTTATTGCAAAGTGTCTCTCCAATCACAGATATACTCTGTTTTTCCATTTATGATTAATTTTCATATTCTATTGTTATTCTTAAATTTAAACCTGGCTCATAAGGAGATGTGTTCTCATTAAGCTTTCATTTAACATATTTTTTCATCATGTAGATAAAACAGTATGATTTAGGCAAATATGAGAAGGACTAGACTAGGGGTGTCCAATTTTGTCAACAAGACTTGTAGACTTCAACTCTCAGAATTTCCTAGCCAACCATGATGGGAGTTGAAGTTCTCAAGTCTTAAAATTGCCAAGTTTAGACTGTACTGTACTGTTTAAGATAATGACATCAAAGGCATGAAAGTAAGAATAGCCTTGACAGGGAAGCAAAATCTATTAGGAATTCCACCTCAAACATATGCCTTGAAAAAATGCTTAACTGGTTTCTTATATTCAGTTATCTGAAAAGGCTGTTCTGCCCTCTATAGGTACTGTAATGATCAATCCTTTATAATAAAAAAACAGTCCTTTATTTTAGAAAGCTGTCTTTTAGCTTTCTTTATTTTTCAGTCATTTTTGACTTGGCAAGTGTTTTGATCATTTAACTTTTACTGCACAATGGCACACTTAATAACCAATCTTCTGCATTAATATGAAAAAAAAAGGAAATTGAATTGTCTTTTTAACGTAAAGTTACATTTACTGTTTGATTTTAGGCATTTTTTATTGGGAAATGTTTTTTTTCTAAAGGTTTGTTTTGTTTTGTTTTGCTGTTAAATTTCCTTTGAAAAGCAAAGTTATAAACATAAAAACAATTATTATAAACAATAAGAAACATATTTATCCTTATGAACAACTTTCAGATTTGTCCTCTTTTCAGGTTTGTCCTTTATATATTTCAAGAAAATATGGTCACTGTATCTATAGGTGATGCTTCTAAATTGGTATGGATTTAGTTATCTGCCCAGGTGTAGATAGCACAACTTTGCCTTAGTGCATCAGATGATATGAACCTCTTCAATGGGTTTTACATCTCCTCAAAGCTCCAAAGAGGCTCATGCACCAAAATTATTCCAGCTTTTTCCATATCTTATTGGAAGCTTCTTCTGGCTGCTGGAATTGTCAGAGAAGACAATATTCTGTTGTGAACTTCCAATGTGAAGCAACATATCACTTTACTTTTAGAACCAAGGGAGGGCACGTTGATTTGTGAAATAGCTTTAAAGCTCGTTATATTCCAACTATCATTGCATCCCTGACATTGTTCAGTTTTTATGACCATAACGGCCCTCGTTCCTCACAGAAATCCAAAAATACAGAACATAAAATAGTTACAAAGAAGCTCTATCTTACTGCCATGGACAACCAAAATCAGTGTGGGATTGAATAATGCTATAGTATTATTATACAATGCTAAACAATGCATTTAGACAGCACTTAATTTCAAATAAAAGACAATTCTACATCCTCATGCTTCCTGAAATAGGTGCCTTCACCATGGATTTCAGAAAGTGAGTGTCACTTTTGCAGGTTATATTTCATGTTCTAAAGGATTTTTTACATCTTTAGAACTAAAATCATGATGTTGATGACATTATTTTTTCCCAAAAAAAGAGATATTAGCCTTTTCTCAATTTGGCCCAATTAGTCTTTAATGGACTAATATTATAGAAATGTAACAAAATATTGCAACTGAGGGGATCAAGTCTCTATCCAAAAACAAATATTCTCATAATAGATGGATATTTCATCCTATGTTTTCTCAGGTACCTCAGTGATTCAGGTGACAGCAACATATCCAACAGATGTTCGTCTGATTTATAGTATTCTGCCAGAACAGCCCTATTTTTCTGTGGAACCAACTTCAGGTATTGTTTCTCTTATAACTTAAGTATCACCAACAAATCATCTAACTATATTGTACTGTATAATTTTTGTCAGATTCATTTTTATGATTATTTCACAAATCAAATAAATGTGATTTAATTTAGTAAAATTACAATTTATTATTTATTTATTAGATTTATGTACCACCCATCTCATATAGAAAATCGGAAAGCCACATGTACAGTATTATTTACTGAATCAATTTACTGAATATTTTTCAAAGATCCTGGAGCACTGGGGAACTACCAGAGGACTGGAAAAGAGCTGATGTAGTTCCCATCTTCAAAAAAGGGGGGGAAAAGCACCCAGGAAATTACAGACCTCAATACCTGGGAAGATTCTGGGAAAGATAATCAAACAATGAATCAGTGAACACTTACAGGCAAACAAAGTCATTACTAAAAGCCAACATGGGTTTGTCAAAAACAAATCATGCCAGACAAATCTTATTGCATTCTTTGACCAAGTGACAAAATTAGTGGACCAGAGGAATGCTGTGGATATAATTTACTTGGACTTCAGTAAGGCATTTGACAAAGTAGATCAGAACCTATTACTTGATAAGATAGAAAAATGCGGGTTAGACAGCATCACCACCAGATGCATCCATAGCTGGCTGCCCGGCCGTACTCAGCGTGTGGTCCTCAATGGAACCGCATCTACATGGAGGGAAGTGTGTAGTGGGCAGCCCCAGGGCTCTGTTCTGGGCCCAGTGCTCTTCAACATCTTCATCAATGATCTGGATGAGGGGATAGATGGGGAACTCATCAAATTTGCAGACGACACCAAGCTGGCAGGAATAGCCAACACTCCAGAAGACAGGCTTAGGATACAGGAGGATCTGGACAGACTTGAACACTGGGCGCTATCTAACAAAATGAAATTCAATGGTGAAAAAAGTAAAGTTCTACACTTAGGCAAGAAAAACCAAATGTACAGGTATAGTATAGGGGGTACCTTGCTCAATAGTAGTAACTGTGAGAGGGATCTCGGGGTCCTAGTAGACAATCACTTAAATATGAGCCAGCAGTGTGCTGCAGCTGCCAAAAAAGCCAACACAGTGCTGGGCTGCATTAACAGAGGGATAGAATCAAGATCACGTGAAGTATTAATACCACTTTACAATGCCTTGGCAAGGCCACACTTGGAATATTGCATCCAGTTTTGGTCACCACGATGTAAAAAAGATGTTGAGACTCTAGAAAAAGTACAGAGAAGAGCAACAAAGATGATTAGGGGACTGGAGGCTAAAACATACAAGGAACGGTTGCTGGAATTGGGTATGTCTAGTTTAACGAAGAGAAGGACGAGGGGGGACATGGTAGCAGTGTTCCAATATCTCAGGGGCTGCCACAAAGAAGAGGAAGTCAAGCTATTTTCTAAAGTGCCTGAAGGCAAAACAAGAAGCAATGGGTGGAAACTAACCAAAGAGAGAAGCAACCTAGAACTAAGGAGAAACTTCCTGGCAGTTAGAACAATTAACTAGTGGAACAACCCGCTTCCAGAAGTGGTGAATGCTCCAACACTGGAAGTTTTAAGAAGAAACTGGACAGCCATTTGTCCGAAATGGTATAGGGTTTCTTGCCTGAGTAGGGGGTTGGACTAGATGACCTCCAAGATCCCTTCCAACTTTATCATTATTATTATTATTAAGGGCTTGAGCTAACAATATTGCTAAACAAATGTATACTATCACATTTTGATTTTCCTCCCTTATTTAATAAATTATAAGATTAAGTATAAATTATATGATTTCTTTCTCCATGCAGAGATGTAAATTTACTATAAAACAAAATATCCTGTAGTATAAGTTTGAAATTTGGTCTCTAACAAAGGTTAATAAATATCATCCAGATGCTTTTAAAATGCAACAGTATTTGGAATGCTATGTGGCCATGACATTTCAAAATAGTGTAGAATGCAAATGAGAGCTAGCAAGATATGGAGGTGCTAGGGAATTTGCATTTGTGGAAAGAGTATAATGTTTGGAACTCTGTATCTTAAAAGCTAAATGAGTTAAAAAAAGTGAATATGAATATTTTTCTTCCTTATTTAGTATTAGAATTCAGGTAAATTGCAATGAAGCTGAATGGAAGAAATTCAGGTCATATAAAAAGAAAAAAACTCAGGTAGCACAGAGTTAACTAAAATATCAAAAAAATATGGCAATTTTTTTGGATAAAGCTATTGAGAAAAACACTATTAAAATGATCATTATCATATTTATTGACTGATCATTTTAAATTTATGTATAAAATTAATATCGCCACCCAAATTTGACTATATTTACTATTTGCTCTTACATCACTGGTTTGCCACTGGAGAGAAGAATTATACTAGTTGTGTTTTGGGTTTAATCTACAATAGCTATTCTTATCTTAAATGGATTCCAGAAGATGATAGAGGACAGGAAGGCCTGGAGGAACGTTGTTCATGGAGTCGCGATGGGTCGGACACGATTTCGCAACTAACAACAAGCTATTCTGTCTTTAAAAAAAAAATTATTAAGCATTATAATTGCAGTAGTAAAAACTGATGCAAACTAAAACAAAAAATGATTAGAGAGAAAATAAAAAAGTGCAAAGGAAAAAAGAAGAAAAAAGGAAGAAAAAAATTATAGTAAAAAAGAGAAAAGAAATAAAGTCTCCCACAAGAAGTATAAACAATATTAGTAACTTTTTACTTCCTTTTAATGTATAAACAATGATATCTTCATCCCATGATCCATCTCTTATCTATAAACACATTCATAAAGTATTGTCATTTCAACACAATTCTACAAGGTTGCCAGAAAAAAAAACTCAATATATTTCAACTTTGTTCAAATAATCTAACTTGTTGTTAGTTGCGAAATCGTGTCCATTTTATTCCTAATAGTTTTAATCTTTAGTCCATTTAAATAATGTCACAGAATTTGATTTACTTTTATTTCTTTGTTATTCCTTCTCACAAGATTCATCCAAGTTTTGACAAATCTCTTCTGTAAATCCAGTATAAAAGAATTATCCAGCTCATGCTTTTGGTTTATTGTTTGTCACAAAATGGTTGTTCTCTACTCCTTCTATATTTTATAGGTGTGGTTAGAACGGCTTATCCAGGGGACAGAGAAACTCAAGATAAATATTTTGTTGTTATCAAAGCTACAGTTGAACAAATTGGTGGACCTTCAGGAACAACAACAGTAACTATTAATCTCTCTGATGTTAATGACAATCCTCCTCGTTTTCAGCATAGTAAGTTAAATGTATTTTCATCTTTTTTTTACTGTTTGAATACCCATGCAATAAAATATTGTATTCATAGTATGTTAACAGTAATTGAAAGCTAGTATTACACTGTGTCTGTATTTAATAATTATTACATATGAGCTTGATTACCCTCACCAAGCAAAGTTGTTTTGCCATGGAATTCTTAGTATTGATGTATAAATACTGTGTACCAATAATTTCTAGAATAATTTTTAATATAATAAATCATATCATATATTCCATTGCCATAATCATTTGTCTTCAAGCAAGAACTGATGGATAGTTATACCAAGTAATTGAAAATGAAGATGTTAAAGTGCTCTGGGACTTTAGAATTCAAACAGACACGCAACTGTCACATAACCTCAGACTTAACAATTGCCAATAAGAAAGGCAAAAAAGTCTGGATATTCAACATGGCAGTATCTGGAGACAGCAGAATAGTGAGAAAGAACTCAAGAAAATAGCAAAATACAAAGGCCTGAAAATACAGGCAAATATAGGCATTTGTAGCAAAGAAAGCAAAGATAGTACTAATAGTGATAGTGCCTTGGGTACAATCTAAAGCATCTGGAGCCCCATCTGAACACCATCACCATTGACAAAATCACCATCAGAGAATTGCAAAAGGCAGCTTTCTTGGAAAGCTTCCATCCTGTGACAATACTTTTAACACCATCAAACAACAACATTTCCCTATTCCAGGTCCATGGAAAGAAGTGGATATGTAAATAAAAATACCAAATCTAATCTAAACATCTGGCTGACTGTGCAACCAACCATAATAATAATAAATAGATAAGGAAGTTAGGAAGAAATTTTTCATCCTTGCCTATGACAAGCAGAGCTTTCATTAATTTAATATACAATGTATCCATGCTGCATTTTTTATTTATGTACTGGAATATTTTTAAGAATGAAACCTTTAAATTATAATCATATTTGAAATGAAACAATTTAATCAATACAAACTATAAATGCTAAATATTGCCATTAAAACCAGTAGTAAAACAATTAAGAATACAGTTTAAGGGAAAACAATCTTTCCTGATGAGAAAAAAGAGACCTGAAGATGCTTTTAAGCTCACTTAAATTTTAAGAAAATACATATATATATATATATATACACATATAGTCATCGGTCCATCCATTTTCTCTTCTTGGTTTGTTCTTAAAGGGCATGCATTTCTTGCTGTGTTGGTATCTTCCAAGGTTGCTGTTTTCTTTTTCTTGGGCTCAGTCACTTTCTTTCTGCTAGCATACGCCGGTTGCTTTTGCTCACTTACACTTATCCCCTTTTTTGGTTCTATTCTGGGATCCATCTGATCTTCCTTGGTGATCGAGCCCAAGAAAAAGAAAATAGCAACCTCGGAAGATACCAACACAGCAAGAGACGCGTGCCCTATAAGAACAAACCAAGTAGAGAAAACAGACGGACCGATAACTAGAGCCATCCGGCAATATAAAAAGGACCCCCAGTAACCTTGTATTATGCTCTGATGATGTCAGCAGTGTTGGCCGATGAAAGCTTAGCTTTAACTTTTGTATTAAACAGTTTTTGTTTAGATCATGGTAATCCACCCTAACAGTTACCAGAATATAAATGAAATGGAGAAACAATGGTACACAATGTACCAGCCTTGTTAAAAACTAAAATAAATCACATGAGTTTTTCCCACTTCATACAAAACACACTGGTTCCATAGAAGGGACCCAACATTGATTGACTGATTATTTGTTTAAAAGACTTATATGGTTGTGCATCTTAAGCAAATCTGGAGGGCTTTCCTGTTAACTGGTTATTGTTGTGGAGGGCTCACAACAATAACCAGTTACCAATTACTGGCAATAAAATAAATAAATAAAACAATCATAAAACTGTAAAAACAGTAAAATAATAAACAGAATAGATTGTAGTAAGATTTATCTTGTTTGCCATCATCTATCTCTAAAAATATTTTTAAAAACTCCAGTGGAGTTGGGCAAATAGTAAATAAATAAATAATAACAATCTGTCTCTAACTTTAATTTACTAAATGTCAGTTATTTTATGCTAACATTGCACCAAGTTGTTATGTATAAACAGTCTTGGGAAGCTCAGAATTTTCCTAAAATAGTGATTATTATGCTACTGGAAGGAACTGTTTCCCTCTCTGCTTCATCTTTAAAGCTATCTCCTTTTCTCTCTTCCTTTACTGAATGGTTATCACACAACTAGTCAGGTTTGGCTATATGATATATGCAATATAAGCTGAAGTGCTAAAATAAGAGTTATTTAAGGACAAAAATCCTCAGAAGATGAAGTAGTGAAGTAATAAACCAATATGGAGTAACATGGAAAGTAAAGCAGTTCAGAGCAATCCAACAGATTTTAATTTAGGAAAATGAAAACACCCCTTGGCTTAAAACAGAGATAGGATCTCAAATCTATAGTGTTAGTTTCCAAGCCACCACAGGAGAGTTCCCATGAACCTGGGGTCTTCAAACTTGGTCCTTTTATGACTTGGGGACTTCAACTCCCAGAATTCCTCAGCCAGCATGCCTGGCTGAGGAATTCTTGGAGTTGAAGTCCATCAGTCATAAAAGGGCCATGTTTGAAGACCCATGCCTACCAGACATGAGTCAGTAACAAGAGCAGTCATGTTACATAAATTTCTTTAAACAGTGGCTCCCAGTTATCTACAAAATTGCATTTTGGAATTAAGTTAAAATAATAGGCAACAAAATCAAATAATGCTACATAACAAGGTAACTAACTAAAGGATAGGGAGGAGCCTTTGTTCTTAATTTATTATGGGTAAATTTATAAGGTAATTTGAATAAAAACAGTTCAGAATAATCTGAATTTGCATATCTAAGAGCAGAAGACTTTTATGTGATGAAACTTTATTGTAGTTGCTTTAATGTATTTGTCTTCATTTTTCTTTTAATACATACATTGGATTTTGTGGTTATTTATGTATTTATTGGTTGCTCTAAACCAAGGAGACACATTAGAAGACCAGGACTTTCATTTCCCAATTAGGGAAAGAACATAGAGGAAAAGGAATCAAAGCAAGGGGAGAATAGGCCTTTGAGGGCATCTCATGTTCTGACAGCAGAAGCATAACCAATCCGATTGATGTATAAAAAAAGCTTCTGGGGAGAGGGAGAGGAGAGGAGATACAGCAATCTCTTGATATGAGTGAATCAAAAAAAGGTGACAATAATATGGATATAACCTGGAAAAAGTGGTTGAATGTTCTTTATTTTTAATCTCTGCTTTGAGAAATGGATTTGGACATTGATTGGTATTCAAATTTAAGAAGTTTGATACATTTTGATGTTCTACTATTTGCTGGTGTTATTCTAATTATAAACAAGGATATAAATGTGTCAGGTTAAAAGGAAAAACTGCAGACACAAGTGATTTAGCAATTCTGTATTGTAATACTTAAAAAAAACTATACAGCTACTTCTTTTGAAATTCAAGAATGGTTAAATTAAACAGTCAAACGCTATTAAATACAATAAGCTAATAGCACAAACAAAGAGATATTTGTTACAACAATTCTTTGCATAACAATGTGATTCTCAGAAAGGAATCACAATTTACATTTTGTTGCTTTCAAATGAACATTCACCGTTTAATCAGGCTTGTACTGATAATTGCCTTTTCTTTAAGAGCGCTATGAAATGAATGTATCGGAGGCAGCTCCTGTGGGCACCATCCTTGGCAAAATCATGGCAAATGACAGTGACATAGGGGACAATGCAGCTATGGATTACATAATAGAAGAAGATAACCCTCATATCGTTTATATCATTACTAATAATGAGACCCAGGAAGGAATTGTCATATTGAACAAGGTGAGATGAGATTTGTTACATAACAAACTATCTCAGCAAACAGGGAAAGAGGCAAAATCAAACAGCTTTACTCATTATAAGCTTGGACGGGAAGAAGTTGTAATAAATCTAAAAGCCATTCTATCTTCTTTTCCAAGATTTCATCCTACATTAGCATGATCAATATAATGTATTCATAAAACGGGCAGCTTATTTGTTGCATACCTAGAAGCAAACAGTGTTAATCACTCCTGATTGAGAAACTTAAATATTCTGTGCTAAACTCTGCCAACTTCAGATTGTCTCAAGAAATGTGTTCTGTTGGCTTAACTCGAATAACTCTTTCATGCAGTCCTTATTAAGTCTAATTTTGCACTGCAGACTGAACTACAATACTTACTTCCCATGTTGCCTTTAATATCCAGTCTGGTTTATAGAGGTTTGGCAATGAAGCTGGATTGGTGCTCACTCTATGGCTTTTTCAAGCTATGATTGTTCAGTTCCTGCATTTTGGCCTTCTAATCTTTATAGGAAAGGCAAGTCTTATTGGATGGCCTCTATTAACTGGCTCTCCTGGGGTCTATCTTTTTTTTTTTTTAGGGACTGTTTTCTTCCCAATAGTCCCCATTCTTTTCCTTTGCTTTCTGAAATGTTTCCACACATGCATACTTTTAGACTCCCTTCATATATTTTAAAGTGTTCCCACTCTTTACTCACCTTATTGCATCAAACCAAAAGACACAGATTATTCCTTCATTCCACTGTAGGCCCATAGAAACTTTGGAGAAATGGAGAACTGATGGTCTAGATTCATAGAAGTAAAGGAATAGCATTCATTGTAATTGTGTAACTTCCTTCTGATATACCTGTGTTGCTACTGAAGTACTTAAAAATGTTTCAGTACAATGGACACAGAATGGGTGGAAATTAAATGGATGCCAGGTAGGAGGTTCAAGGATGGGACAAAGATATGCTGGAAAAAAAGTAAAAAACAATGACCAAGAGTACCAATAGTAATTTTTATAGATCATCATCAACTAGAAGAAAAGTAAATGAAATTAGCATAGAACATACGAGATTTAAAACCCACAAAATTTGATACTCACAATTTTAGAGACAAGTCTGGTTAACAAGAACAAAGTTTATTGGAGAAAAATATGGAAATAAAAAAAGAAAAGCAGTTGCAAGCGCTGTCTCTTAGACCCTTCCCAATGGATTGAGTTCAAAGAGCGCATAAAGCAGTTTTCAAGCTATACATTTTATACCCTTTTACAATGCACATCATGCCTAAGAAGCCCTCCCAACTTCCCTTCTTCATTCTCTTTAGTCATTCTTTGAAGTTGTTTTATACTTAAAGGGTCATCCTGACAATTTCCGTCCATCCGCTGTTATCTTATCTTGTTTATTTGTAATTTTCACTTTGGACAGATGTTCCCCTCTTCCTGATAGTGATTTCTGCTGTCTCCTGAGGAACTATTAGTAGGTCATAATTCATTGCCTTTGCTGATTACCATTTGTGATCACTTTGTATAGGCAAGAAACAGCAAACAGAGGGTCTCATACATTGGTGTTACATCGATACATTGGAGCTTCATTATTACATTGGAGTTTCATTGTTACATTGGGGTTACATTGTTACATTTTATAAAATAATAACTTTTATTTATTTCCTTTAGAACATAATGACCCAATCCAGCAGCCAAGGATAAAATGGCTATAAAGGGCAGCAACCGGCGCTGCTTCTGTTTTTATGGAGTAATCATAACTGTTCATTGCAAAGACTTTGTGTTCTGTTGGACCCAGAAGAGGTCCAGGACAACTCAATGTGGTTATCTCACCATGGCAATCTTGCTGCGGCCAACTCACTGTGGCCAACTTGCCACAGGACAACTTCCCATCAGACAATCCACATGGCATAACTCAACACAATAAATGGAAATAATGTTGAAGAAACAGTGGAAGATAACATTTATTGCACTGAGTTATCCTATGTGGAATTGTCCAGCAGCAAGTTGTCCACAGTGAATGGGCTGTGGTGAGATGGCCACACTGGGTTGGGCACAGTGAGATAGCCACAATGAGTTGACCATGATGAGATGGCCATGGTGAGATGGCCATGGCAAATTGTTCCATTCTGTCTCAGAAGTTATCCCTCTCTCCACAATTCTGCTTCTTCCTTATCTCCCCATGCTTCCTGGGTTAGAAGGTTGGAGGAATTTGTTCATTATGATTCTCTTTCCCTTGGATGGGAAATCCAGGGAAGGTGTCAGATCACTGGATAGGATGAAACATGACACAATGACTTTACTATCAAAATCAAACTACAGTAGCAAGAAAGGTAACTATAGAAAGTGTGCTCATGAGGATTACACTAACATTTTCTTCCCTTAAGGGGGAGAAAAATGAAACAAAGATAACATGCCTGTTTTGAAAATATTCCTTCTGAAACTGAAGCACTATTTTTTCAGTTACCTGCTTATTGTTGTTAATTTCTCTGTATTGGATTTTCTTCTTCTTTTATTTTTACAGACAGTTGATTATGAAAGTCAAAGGGCATACAAAATAAAAGTTAAAGGCATTAACAGACATGTTGAAAAGCGCTTCCTTGAAAAAGACACTAAGTTTGAAGATGAAACTATTCTCAGGATTATAGTTAAGGACGCTGATGAACCTCCAGTTTTTGTATCAGAGGAATTCTTTATGGAGGTTGCTGAAGACAACTGGAATGGCTCATTTGTGGGGACTGTGAGTGCCAGAGATCCAGATGATATTGACAGTCCAATCAGGTACACCCCAAATCTTTAGATATGCCCTAGATATAGATATGGCTGGACATAATATTACTATATGGTTTTTAGTGACAGAGATCCAGATGATATTGACAGTCCAATCAGGTACACCCCAAATCTTAAGATATGCTCTGGATATAGATATGGCTGGACATAATATTACTATATGGTTTTTAGTGACAGAGATCCAGATGATATTGACAGTCCAATCAGGTACACCCCAAATCTTAAGATATGCTCTGGATATAGATATGGCTGGATATAATATTACTATATGGTTTTTAGTGACATTGAAGACTACTCCCCCAAGACTGTTGGTGTAGGCTTTGGGGTGCTGTATACCTGAACATTACACATGTTGGTAGCTATTTACTGGAATGGAGATTGTAGATGAACGTCCTGCTTGCACTGTATCCCTTGCTTCATTGGGATTCAGAAAAAAGGAAACTTTCATAAAGTTTCCTGCTCTGAGAGATAGGGAAGGAAGGAAGTCTAAACTAAGCAAAATAAGTGGGTCACTAAGTCTATGAAAATAAATCTATCTAGTTGTGTTCTCCAAGTTCCAAGGGTTTTCCATCCTTTGTGTTTAATGGAAGTAGTAGTTGTTCTTTTGCCTTTCTCCTCTTAGTATTTTTTTCTTTGACATTGTTTCAAAGCAGCTACAATAAAAATGCACTGCTATAGCCCAACTTAGTTGCCAGTGTGAGTCGCTTCACAAGTGGCACTTCACTGTCTCTTTTTAATCGAGTCCTTCACCTGCTGTGAGCCTGTCTGTGAAAGAGGAATGAATAATGCATTTTAGATTTGCTTCACTCTAATACAGGTATGAACATATTTCAGTGCATAAAAAGAGGGGCTTTGATCTTGGCAGCAGTGAATTTTAAATGTTTATCACTGTTCATTTTTCATGATTTCTGAATAGCCAAAGCACACATATCCATATTCATGGCTGCACAGTTCTGTTTCCTTGACTGACCATAGTTTATGTATCCTTCTTTATGAAGGAATTTTTGTATTCCATGTCTCAGAAACTCACCCTTCCTCTTTCTTTTCTTTTTTAAAAATCTTTTTTGTGCAGATATTCTATTGCCCACAGCAAGTATTTAAAGACATTTTTCAGCATCAATGATCACAATGGAACAATTAGTATAACTGAACCTCTGGACCGAGAGAAACAGATTTGGCACAACCTAACTGTTACTGCCATAGAATCAAGTGAGTAGGAGATTTAAGATACCTATCCCAAATGTGCATTATGCAGGAACATCTGCAGGAAAGGGGAAAGGATGTCAAAGAGTCAAGATGGCAGCTCTGGTGCTGAAATCCAAGCTCGCCTTGCTATGAGGGATGTGAAAAAGGAATAGAACTTGGCCTATGCATTTACCACCATCAACTTGACTAATTTAACTACCCTGCAGATGTCTCTGATACCAATATCTTTTTGTAACAATTATTTTCCAAAGGTCCATCATTTGCAGTTGAGAATTTTTGTTTCTTTGTTGCTTGTTTCATAAGGTAACATTAAGAAAGGGATACATTTGTTGGAGTTAAATCTAACATTTTATTTCCTTTAACCAAATTTTTTAAAAACAACAACAACAACAACAACAACAACAACCTTATGACTACAACTGAGCCCAGAATTTATGTTGCCAAGTGGGAAATTGTTAAGTGAGGTTTGCCCCATTTTATGACTTTTATTGCCACATTTGTTAAGTGAATCACTGAAGTTGTTAAATTAGTAACATGGTCGTTAAGTGAATCTGGCTTCTCCATTGACTTTGCTTGTCAGAAGGTCACAAAAGATGATCACATAACCCCAGGACACTGCAACTGTCATAAATATGGACCAATTGCCAAGCATCTGAATTTTGATCACGTGACTATGGGGATGCTGCAAGGGTTGTAAGTGTGGAAAACAATCATAAGTAACTTTTTTCAGTTCCATTGTAACTTTGAATGGTCACTAAATGAATTGCTGAAAGTTGACAACTATCTGTGTAATGGAAATAATTAACATTTTGAGGTACACTGCAGGATATAAAATTGTCCTCTTGATACAGGAGCTTATATAGACTATGGTTAATTTCACAGGCTTTTTTATTAGAGGTATGAAATTACCCAGCATTTAACTGAACTCCAGTCAGAATATTAGTTTTGAAACTGAGGGCACATTCAGTTAGACTTCTATATAGCCCCATCCCTTTTGATATTCTGAAAGGTCCATAAGACCTGGTTATGTGACCAAGGCTGGGCCTCCTATGAACTAGAAGTATATTTAGGTAGAGTCTTTGTCGAGGGAGGTATTTTTATACCCTTTAATTATGGGTTGCATTTTTTTAAGGATATCTATAATTTTTTATAATAGTTTAAAAATAATTTTCTGTTTTTATTTTCTATTGTTATGCACTGTCTAGAGTCTCCTTGGGTGGCTATGTAAATTTGATTAACAAATAAATACACTTGGAATATAGGCATCGCCTATACCAGTGTTTCTCAACCTTGACAATTTTAAGGCATGTGGACTTCAACTCCCAGAATTCCACAGCCAGCATTGCTGGCTGTGGAATTCTGGGAGTTGAAGTCCACATGCCTTAAAATTGTCAAGGTTGAGAAACACTGGCCTATACTGTATACAGTTCTCCTGTTGGTGTTATCTTAAATTCCAATGCAAGTTGCTGGTTGCCTAATCTATGCATTTGTTTGCCCTTGAGATGTTACTTCCTTCTAATTTTTTTTTAAATACTTAGAATTAGAACTAAACATTCTCTGTTAAAATTTTAGTTCCTCATAATAAAAAGGTAAATGCAAATCATAAAAGGACAGTTTTACCTATCTTCAGATTGGTTCTTGAAAAGGACAAGCTGTATGGTTTTCCATTAAAAGGATAATACAGACAAACACTTCAGCCAAATAAAAGAAATCATTTCCATTATTTTTTTTCAGAATTCCAACTGAATGAATAAAGCATTTTAAGTGTACTAAAATAGTTAATTTTATATGCACAATGTCAAGCCATTATGTGATTATTTTCATTCATATTCTTAGATTTTTTGCTTTAATTATAAAATATTCTTAATAATTATAAAAAGACAAGACTATCTAACTATAATTCTACTAATTGTTTATTTAAATAAGCACTTACACCTTGCTATGCTGATGAATGTTCCAGAGAAATAAACAATTAAGATAATCAAAAAACTATTTTTTTTAAAAAAATGGAAAATAAGACAAAAGTAATCCCAAAGGCGCTTTTTTTCAAATGGCAACTAGACTTTGTTTTTGGCTTGAAGATGTTTCACTTCTCATTCAAGAAGCTTCTTCAGTTAGACTTCAAATATCAAAATCAGTCTGATCAAAGAATGACCTAAAATTTATTCAGAGGTTCTAGTTTAGAATTGTGGTATTTTCAGATCATATTAAAAAAATTGGAGAGGAAAGGGGAATAATGGAAGGAAATATAGATGCATAGTACATATCCAGGAGAGAATAGGGGAGTTGCTTGTTAACTTATTTTAAAAAATGGCAGCTAAATCCAGAACTAAGGGCAGAAATGATATGTAGATCTACACCTGATGATATTTCAGAATGATAAGCATTTGGGCTAGGAGATTATAATCTCATTCACTACAACTACTCAGTCGATATCTACCTCTTTTACAAAAGTACTATAAACTGGAAATAAACCAAACAACAAAATTAAAGAGAGAGAAAAAAAGAAAACTTTTTTTTAAAAAAATAATAATAATTCAAATTGGGATTTTCAACTTCCAGCCATAAAACTTTTTGCCTTTTTATCCACTTCCTCCTGGTCTTAGAGTTTAGGGGAATACAATAATTTTGAAGAGTTAGATGCTTAAACTCTTACCTAAATTATCTTTTCAAGTAAGATTAACTGAATAACCTATTCGAGTTATATTATTTGAATTATCTATTCAAAATTCCAAATAGTTTATACATCCCGAAAACAAAGTTACAAATACATTGGATCTCCTCGATTTTATTTGAATGCATAATTTTCCCTAAATAAATGCCCTGATTCTTATAGGTATTAACTGAGTTGCTTAATCATCTGGGAAATGAATTTTTTGGAGTGAAAAAGATAATTACTATAAATGTACCACACTTTGTCTTTATGTACATATTGTAAATTAACTTTATAATTAGATTTATTGTAAATCAACTTTAACTGAAAAAGAAAGAATTTTTTTTTAAAAAAATGAGAATGTAAAACATAATTTTTATGGGATGAGGAGGTGAGGGGAGATATAAACATATATTCAAATATTAAATGTTTATTACATTTGAAAATTACATTTCAGACCTCTTTATTGCAGAGCTTTACCAATAAATGGTGAATTAATTTTAGTAATCCTATATTCCAGTTCTTTAAAATAAGCCAGATTAATTGCATATTAGTTGCCTTACCAACCAGTGACAGAACTAATAGTTTTAAAATAGTTCAACATCAGAAATACTGTAACAAATACCCTAAAATATTTTGTTTGAAACAATATCATATTTACTACACAATCCTTCTCATTTATCGCAGCAAAAGATTTCAGAGAATTAAGTTACCTGATTGCATAATTTCACATTAACTTCCATTTTATGCTACATAAATACTCAAAAGAAATTATTTATTCAAAGGACAATTTTCTGATTTTATATGCATGTATAGCACATTGGGACAATGGACAATTCTCACAGACAAGTGTTGAAATTATTTCCAGAAACTCTTTCAACTTTCTTTTTAGTGAATAATCAATCTTTTACTTTACTATTTATTTATTCGTTCACTAGTAGAAAGGTAAGGTAGAGGGTAACAGCTCCAATTTTTGAATATTTTCTTGCATAGGCCTTAGCTCCACTGATTTCAGTTGAGTATATATCAGAGCAAATTGTACCATATTGTGCTTTAATTCACTTAAGCAATTAAAGAAATAGTGTGGCTTTATACATTTGTCTAGCTTTCAGCTCACAAATCATCTTGATAATTAAGCTAATTTAAATATAGGGCAATTCACTGTTATATATTGCTTCTCTGAATGCCTTAAGCAAAGACCCATCTGTGCAAAATGATTTGAGTTGAACATATATTCACTCAATTATTTACAAAACTTCCTTCCTTCCTTCCTTCCTTCCTTCCTTCCTTCCTTCCTTCCTTCCTTCCTTCCTTCCTTCCTTCCTTCCTTCCTTCCTTCCTTCTTTCTTTCCTTCCTTCCTTCCTTCCTTCCTTCCTTTTGTTTTTGAAGTCATAAAGGAATGTAAGCTATATTATAGCAATAATCAAACACAGAATGTGCCTGAATTAATATTTGTGGTGTTCAGGATTGTACTCAATCATTTTTTAATCATTTCTTATATTATCATTACTGAAGATTCTTTATAACATGATATATAAAAAATAATATGCAAAACACTTTGTTTTTATTGTGATTATTTTAGTGTGTTATATATCATATATTAATGTGAAATATAGTCTTGTATCTAATACTTTTTATTAAAAACTAAACTGAATATCACAATGTTCCTTAGAAAGGATTTTTGAAGATACACACAGAGAGAGAACTTTTAACATTAGAAAAAAAGCTATTGACTTTTCATTCTGTTGTGCTTTTTTATTTTTGTTTTTTTCTGATTTAGTAAACCCAAAACAAATGTCAGAAGTAAATGTTTATATTAAAGTTCTTGATGCAAATGAATATGCACCAGAATTTGCAGAATACTATGAGACGTATGTGTGTGAGAATTCAAGAGCTGGGCAGGTAAGACTATCATTATTTCATAAATAGTATTAAAATTCTCCTAAGATCTACTAGTGTTTCTTTCTTCTGCTTGTAGGAAATCTTGCAAGACTTTTTTGTTCATACATGCATCTGGAGTAAATTCTTTCAGCTGTCACTATTGACTTATCTAGTTATACAGTGTTTCTCAACCTTGACAATTTTAAGGCATGTGGACTTCAACTCCCAGAATTCCACAGCCAGCAATGCTGGGAGTTGAAGTCCACATGCCTTAAAATTGTCAAGGTTGAGAAACACTGAGTTATAACATTATTCTTTTTTTCTTTTACATCAGAAATGCAAAGAGAGGCTTCGTCCTGACCTCAGGTTTCTTGTATCTTTGTAGCCATATATTGTTCTGTTTGTTTTCCCAAAATGGATGTATGCTAGGATTAAAAATGAAGTATTACCTACCAAAAAAAGGTGATTTTTATCCTCTACTTGGCTTTCCTTTACCTCTCTCTATGCGTTATCCTTCACTGTTGTAAAGTGGGCATAGATATGAAAATAAAATAGTATTGAGAAGCTGCAATCCTCATCTCCAAGAGATTATCTGATCTCCATTGTCCTTTATCTCCAATTTAGGGTTACTGGATCATTCCCTGCCATTTTAATGTCAGCCACTTGCAATGCTGGCTTAGCTGTTCATATAAATTGTAGTCTCTTTGGGCACTTCCAAGTGCCAAGTTCTGCTTATGGAAAAAATAATCCTCCCACCAATTAATGATGGGACTGTCATAAAGAGCAAATGTATCTGCAGAATAATCATTTCATTTTAGTTTTCATTTCCTGGTCAAAACTGAGCACTGATTGGCTAAGGCATCTATCCTCACCTGTGGGTCATAATTTGATTGGTTCTTCATCCTATGCAAGACTAATAAACCTGTAGAGTAGAGATGCTCTTAGAATCTTAATAATTTTAAGAATCAAAATCATTCCCTCCTCTACTTGAAATATTAAATTATATTACCTACGTAATAGAAATCCTCACTGTTTGATGTAATTTGCCTTCAGCAAAGCTTTATTTATGTGTATCTGCATCTTCAGTTGATAAAGTCATAGCATTATATGATTAAGAATAATGATTTCCATGTTTTTTTTTAACATGGTTTATCTGGGAGGGCTGATAGTATCAAAACAAGAATGTGTCTTATCATACCATCCAACAAATTATATGGTAATGCAACTGCACCATGATGTTTGACATGTGAATCTTCATCATGATTAGCATGATATGACACACATGTTGATCCCTACACTGTGCATTTCTAATAAGCAGGCATTGCCATTGTCTAATTGAAGCATGCTGACTAAGAGAAGATTTTCTCACAGTTAAGAAGCCATTAACTGTATGCATAGTTTAGCAGCTGAGTAACAATATCATTTGTTTTGTGTGAATAGATCAACCTCCCCACAAGTCCATAATTTTAATTTTAACCATACATTCCTATATAGATCTTCAAGATAGAATGGGACAATAAGGATATATGTGGTTATTTTATTGTTGTATAACCTCCAGAGTTGTATTTTTACAAGTTGGGCAGCCATATAAATCTTTAAATAAATAAATTACTATATAAACTGACATCAGGGATACAGCCCAAAAGGATAAGATGGTTGCTATAGCAGTTTGAGCTATCACCTCTTTTCTATGTACATATTATCCTGATGCATGTGCAACAACCTTCAGTTGTTCTGATAAAAAGGGGCGTTGTCTTACCTGAACGCCTTTTCTCAGCATGATGATGGAGAATCCACGGATGGGTTGTCTTAATCTATCTGCTCCAAATAGACTAAGTCTGAAATTGGTAACGTCCCTCTGTGCTAAGTGCACCCCAGTTTTAGACTAAGGCGATACCCAGACTTTAATCCGACGCGTCTGAACAAATGGGAACCAGGCCAACTGACCTAATGGGAGGGAGTGGATTCTCCATCATCATGCTGAGAAAAGGCGTTCAGGTAAGACAACGCCCCTTTCTCCAGCATGATTGGATGGAGAACCCACGGATGGGACATACCAAAGCCCTGTGTCCCTAGGGTGGGGAACTAGATTGGGCCTGGGACCCATCCAATGTTAATGCATGTTCTAGAAACTTGCGACCAAATGAAGCCGTAGAAGATGCATATATATCCATCCTGTAGTGACGGACAAGGGAGGAGACGATGCCCATGTAGCTGCCCTGCAAACCTCCTCTATGGATGCCTGGGTGGACTAGGTTGCTGTAGTGGGCATGCCCCGGGTGGAATGGGCCGTGATATGCCTGGGAGCTTGTAGTGACTGAGTCTGGTATGCCAGAGAATACAAGCTCTAATCCACCTGCCTATAGTGGGTGGTGAAACCTTCTGTCCTAATGACGAAGGGGGAAATGAAACAAGCAGAGCCTCAGTCTTGCGGAAGGAAGAGGTTCTCTGTATATAACAATATAAGGCCCTGCGCACATCTAATTTGTTCCACTGAAGCTCTATGTCATTAGATGGGTTCGGACAGAAGTCCGGCAAAACTATGTCCTGGGATCTATGATAAAAGGAGTTAACCTTGGGCCAAAGGAGGGACTAACCTGAGGGTCACCCTGTCCCTATGGAAAATACACAGGTCCTTCCTCCTGACAGGGCAGTCAGCTCAGAGATCCTTCTGGCTGAAGCTACAGCAATCAGAAATGCCACCTTCATTGATAATTGTTTGAGCAAACAAGTGTCAATGGGCTCAAATGGTGGTGAGACAAGAGCCTGTAGAACCTGATGAAGGTCCCAGGAGAGGTATCTATGTATGGTTGGTGGTCTGGCATTGTTAGCTCCTTTTAGGAAGGAGTGTATCATAGAGTGCTGTGTTAAGGATTCATTGCCACAGAAATTAACCGTGGCGAGTGCTGCTACCTGCCTACGGATGGTGCTTGTGGAAAGCCCCTTTGTCCAGCCCTTCCATCAGGAACTCCAAGATGACAGGCCCTGAAGCCTGCAAGGGGTCAATCTTGTGAGCTAAACACCAATTACAGAAGCTTTTCCATGTGGCATCGTCTATTCTATTCGTCGAGGGTCGCCTGGATTGCTGGATCATGGCTATGACCCTTGACGAATATGGGTCTAGACCTAAGGCCTGCCTCTCAAGTGCCAGACGGTTAACTGGAGCCATTGAGGGTCCGGATGACATCGCTTCCCTTGAATGAGGGAGATCCGATTGGCTGGAATCCTCCATGGAGGGGATGCGGAGAGGTTCATCAGGTCGGCGAACCAAGATCGTCTCGGCCAATGCGGGGCGAACAGGAGGACCCCTGCTTGCTCGCGAAGAATCTTCCTGATCATGGCAGGTAGAAGGGGTAGGGGAGGAAAGGCATAGAGAAGTTCCCTGGGCCAGGGAACTGCGGAGTGCATCTGTTCCCTCCGCTGATGAAGACGGGAACCTGGAAAGGAATCTGGGAAGCTGTGAGTTTGCTGGGGAGGCAAAAAGGTCTAAGGTTGGGGAACCAAACCTGTCACGCTCTCTCTGGAGATCTTCGGATCCCGCTGGCATTCGGAATGGTCCACGGTGGCTCTGCTCAGTGAGTTCGCCTGCTGGTTGGCCACTCCGGATATGTGCTCCGCCCTGATGGAGGCAAGATTCAGTTCCGCCCAAGACCCCAGCAATCTGGCCTCCTGCTTGGGAGGCCTGGGCCTTGTTCCCCCCTGTGTGTTGACATGGGCCTTGGCTGTGATGTTGTCGGTTAAGACCAGGACGTGCTGTCCCTGTACTAAGCTGCTGAATCTCTTTAAGGCCATGTGTATGGCTCTTAGTTTCAGCCAGTTTGTATTGTTCTTTAGGTCCTGCCTGGACCACTGATCTTGGGCCCAGAGTGTGTGGAAGTGTGCCCCCCACTCAAATAGACTTGCGTCTGTGGTGATGTGGGTCCTGTCTGGTTCTTTGAATTCTGCTCCCCGTGACAGTGCCAGAGAGTCCCACTAACGAAGGGAGTTCGACACCGACCGTGGAACTCGGACCTTCTGGTGAGATGTGCTGGTATGAAGTTTCTGAAATGGAAGGAGAAACCACTGTAATTCTCTGGCATGGAGACGTGCCCATGGCCCAATTTGCACGCAGGACACCATCTTCCCTAGTAGTTGTGAAAGGGAGGCCAATGTGACTACTCTGTCCCTTCGGATCCAACGTACAAGGGTCTGAATAGAGTTCTGTCGGTCCTGAGATAGGTAGACCGTACAGTTGTCTGTGTCTATAACTGTGCCCCAATGCAGGAGCCGAGTTGTTGGTATGGTATGACTTTTCTGGAAATTAATCGAAAAACCGTGCTCCTGAAAACCCCTGATGGCTAGGGCGAAGTCTGCCTGAGCGCTTTGTAATGATGATGACTGAATTAGAATGTCATCTAAATAGCATTGGACTCTGATGGGAAATTGTCTAAGGTGGGCTGCGATCACTGCCAGTACCTTTGTAAATACTCTCGGTGCAGAAGAGAGGCCAAATGGAAGGATTCTGTACTGGCAGTGGCGTCGGGCATAACTGAATCCGAGGAATTTGCGGTGTCCTGGAAAATGGGATGTGCAATATGCCTCAGTCAGTTCTATTGATGTAAGAAGTCACCTTGCCTGACACTGCCCAGGATTGATTGAAGTGCTTGCACCTGAAATTTCTTATACCTCAAGTAAGGTTTAGACCTTTTAAGACCAAGATTGCCCTCCAACCCCCTGAAGTTTTGGAAATGACAAAAAGGTTTGATTAAAACCTTCGTCCTTCTTGGTCTTGTGGTGCTGGTTCAATTGCTTGTATTTGCAATAAATGAGCTATTGCTTCTGACCTGAGTTCAGCTCTGGTCCTGTTCATTGAAATAGGACAAAAGCGGAATTGTCAGGTGGATGGGAACAAAATTCCAGTCTTAGACCTTGTGTAATGGTGTGTAACACCCATGCGTCCGCAGTAGTGGCCGCCCAAATGCTGGAATAGAGGGCCAGCCGGCCTCCTATGGAAGGTGAGGCTGCAGGATCACTTGCCTCTC